CTGTCTCAGAAGACCTATGAGGAGGTAAGTCCCATTGGAGAACTGCCTGACTCAGCAGGGATGGGATTTCAGGACCTATGCCGAAGCAAGAACTCCTCCACTCACCTCTAGGCACAGCCTACAGTCACCTTCACACTGACCCACAAGGCTCTGGGGTCCTTTCCTAAATCTGTCTGGTAGTCTTGTGGCCTAGTCTCACTCCTGCTCTTATACCATTGCTGCTCAAGAGTGGGGGGTGTGCGGGGAGGGAGGAGCAGGAATCAAATGCAGCTGCTTCTTCACACCAGATTTTTATAAGATTTCTCCAATTCAATTATTGCATTAACTCAAAGCATCAGCTGGTGCATACCATAGCTGAGTCTCTGATAGATATTCAGAATATGAGAACAGACACTCAAAAGCCTAATAGCTTTCCTGCCTCACAGTCCCTGAAGTTTCATAACCTACAAGCATGCTGAAGACAGAGGATGTCTAAAACAGGATCCCTGTGGATGTCTCTGAATGCTTAGTGAAGGGTTTGGCCTAGCTCTGCAACCTGTGACAGAGCAGGAACAGGAGCCAGAATTTCATATACAACTCAGCTTCTCCAACGACTTCAATTCTGAAATGCAGGCTGCCTCAAGGCAAGCTTCCCTACTCCATGCTGCAAATGGACTTCTCAGCTCCTGATATGCAATACCTTTGATGACCCAGCTGCAGACCTTTCCTAAGATGATGCTGGCAGAGCTGGCTAAAGCCAGCAATAATGCAGGTAGGCACAGTGTACACTTCTTTCCTGCCCCATGCAGAATTCAGCTGGTGTAACTCAGCCCTGGCGTGCACCTCAGGCCTGTTCCACCTCTGGGCTTTACTCACAGCTTCCCTAGCATACCTGACCTACAGTGCTTGCCTGCTACTCTAGTCCTTTCCTGAACAAAGGCTGACACTTATGCCAAATGGTGGAGACATTAGGAACTGATGTGAACAAGACTGGGCAAGGCTGAGTACCATCCAACTCCTTCAACTTTGGTTCTCAGAGGATTTCCATGGTGGACTGAAAACCTTTCTCTACATTATAGTCCCCACCTTCCCAGTTCTCAGCACCAACATATTGTTCCATATTATTTTCTCCAGCCAGGCTGAATGTTACTGGTATTTTTTATTCCCATCCATCAACTTCAATGTGACTGAACAAAGTATTTCATTCCATTTGGTGTCTGTGATCTAATATTCCCTGAGTATTCAAACATGACATTTTGGCTCATACCTACAGCACTTCAGGTTGCCTGGAAGTCTCCCACCCAAAAATGATCCAGACCTTGGACTGCTTAGCATCCAAAATTGGACACAGTCAGTCCAGGCAAGCTATAGACAATTAGGTTTCATTAAGCCCTCCCCTAACCCTGGTTTCACTTTCCTTTAAGTGTCAAAGTGGACCTTGACACTGTCTTTTCCTGTGAGCATCTCCCCTCTGGATAATTGTCCAATTGCCAGCAAGTGTTAGAGTAAGTGCCACAGTGTGGTTTTTTTTCACTCCAGTTACCTTTGGTACCATCTGGAGTGTTATCCTCAATACTATTCTGTCCGCACATAAAACTCAGTGGTGCTTTTGGTAAAGCACAGGCAGCCTGGCTGGGACTACATGCTAAAACCCAGAGAAGGCTTTCACTGGGACTACCTATTCAGCACTGTGAAATGAACCTAGAGATTAAGCAGTTGGAGTGCTGATAAACCTCCAGTGCCTTCCCACAATCCTGTGTCCAGTGATGCCTCCATGCTGGTTAAAGTACCTCACTTTGCTAATCTGCACCTTTGCTCTTTAAATACAGGCCCTTTCAGAAGTTTCTTCAGCCCCTTCTAGTTGCTGCTGATTTGGTGAGTGAAGTGTGGGTGCCCCTCCATGCAGTCCTTTCCTCCTGCTTTAGAGACTAATGGAATAGTGCAACAAACACCAGGCCTATGGCCCAGCTGGACTGGGAGGCTTCTGAATGGAGGTGGTGTGAGGGTCCACTTATTATACTTTGACTTCACTCTATTTCCAATACTAAGGCCACTACAAGGTTCCAGTAAGATTTCCTATCCTGCCCATCAGGAAAGTGTATTCCAGGATGCTCCAGCCCTTCCCTGGCAAGCATGGGATAATAGAGATCTAGCACCTCAGTGCCCACAGTGCCCCTGTGCAGCGTGAGTTTGTATTTAGCCAAGTGCTGTATCAGCCACACTCCATGCAGGCCTGGCTCGCCTGGCCTGAAGGGACAATGCTGTCATGTGTTGTTCTTTAAGCTCACTCCATAGCTTTTGATCAGAACACTGGGCTCAGCCTAAAGGAAGGAACAAGTCTGGTGACAGGACACCTGAATGACGAGAGTATGACCTGGGCTGATTCTTACTCCTTGGGCTGTAGCAAAGGGAATCCAATGGTGGTGACCTCTTCCCTCCCCACTTGGCTGTGCTGCAGCACACACGGGGTGAGTGCCACAGAGGAATACTTTCCCCCACATGCAGGATCAGGATGTGAAAGCAGCTGAAGCAAGAAGGGGGAGCAAGGTGAAAGGCAAGAAAGTAGGCTGTGGGGGCATACGCAAATCTGAGCTTGATATACATATGTGCACACACACGCACATACATATAGGCACATGCTGGACTTACTGATTCCCTGCCTGGGTGAAGGGAGTGCTCCCTTGTCATATGCACTTAGTGTAGGGAAGAGGTCTGAGGCCACCCTGACACAAAAAAGGCATCCAAGGAATGACCAACCCCCATTCCCCAGTGTCAGCAGCCAGCAGACCTGTACGTGTGTATGATGGACTGCAGATCCCCAAGGAACTTGAAAGCAATCTGATTACTGCTGACTGTCTCCCTTCTTCCCCTCCCAAAGCTCTAAGTCACCTACTATGGAACCCCAGTTGCTTCTCCCCCTTCCCTGCCTCCACCTAGGTTGGGCTAGTGCATGTAAGTGTCCACCTACCCAGGATTTTTGGTTGTAGCCGTGTTGGTCTAAGGACATATGCAGGCAAGGTTCTTTGAGTAGATGTGATATCTTTTATTAGACCAACTGAGTAGTTGGAAAAAAGGTCTTGGGAAACTTTTGGGAACAGTCACCCTTCTTCAGGCATAGGGAGTCTCTGCTGGTCTGAGACCCATTCCTTGGAGTCTCATCTCAGCACTCTGGGACTCATTCCTTGGAGTCTCAAGCCAGCAGAGACTCCCTATGCCTGAAAAAGGGTGACTGTGCCTGAAAGCTTCCCAAGAACTTTTTTCCAACTATTCAGTTGTTCTAATAAAAGATATCACATATACCCAAAGAACCTTGCCCACCTACCCAGGAGGGCACACAGTTCTCAGGGGAGCTTGGTGTTGCTAACCATGCTGACCATGCTCCTGCTGCACCTCCTGTCTGTGAATGAACCAAAATGCTTGTGTGGGAATCCAGTTGAGCCCTCGCTCCTTCATGAACCAGCCCTGTACTCCCTACCCACCTCTCTCTTGCACTTACAGTATTTGCATCCTGTTCCAGTGCAGCTAATGCTGCAAGTACTGTCCTGAACTGACCAGTCAGCATCTGGAATTACCTTCACCTTCAGGCAACCCTCCTTCCTTCTTCAGTTACTCCTGACTTGTCACAGTCCCACCGCGTCCTTTCAGCCCCATGCTGCCCCCACAGTGAATGGCTGATGCTCAGAGCCACTTGGGATCATTGGGAAAGGCTCCATGGAAGCTGAAAAAAAGTTCAGTTTCCCAAATGCATGGGGTGAGCATGTGTCCCAGATTGACCAGGACAGTCCCAGATTTTGGAAGCTGGTCCCAGCCAGCTGATGAAAATTAAAATGAGCATCTGGAGCATCTGGAGACAGATTGGCAGGTAAGCTGTGAAGTAGGAATCCCTATTACCACTAACTGTTACTTCACAGGTGATTGTTAACACCTGTGAAGTAAAGCAGTGGTTCTCAACCTTTGGTACCTTACATACCCCCTGCCGATCAATGCAGCAAAAGTGAAACTGGAAGTCCCACCATGGCACTTCCAGTTTTGGCGCTGCAAGCTGAGTCCCACTTTTTCCACTGCGGCCTGGAGCAAAGCATTCCTGTGTGGGGCCTCCCTCCCTATCCCCTGGCACACTGACGCTGGGAAGTGAAAGCCCTGGAGAACTGGACATAGCAGGAGGGGCAGCAGCTGGAACTTCTGGTCCAAGCAGGCAAAGACCAAAATGCAGCACCCATGTACCGCTTGCCTGTGTCTCGCATACCCCCAGGGGTACACATACCACAGGTTGAGAAACACTAAAGTAAACAACACTGGGTCACTAGTGACCATTGACTCCCTGCAGCCGGCAAGACAGGGGCAGGGGTGGGGGCAGGCAGGTAAGCAAGCAGCATCCCAGATTTCACATTGTCCCATACTCTACAAATGCAGACCTGGTACTGACAGGACATAAACCTGACAAGGCCATGGGCCATGTGTGCGCAAGCAAATGGCCATGTCCCCTTCCCACAACTGCTCACTTGTCCTTGTATATGTGTTGTCCTTCCTAACATGCCTGAGCAGTGGGATCTGGGGAAACACCTCTCTCAGGAAGACCTTCATTTCTCACTGTACCCATTTTTGAATACACCCATGTGTGTGCATACATGTACACACTGGCAGGCACAAGGAAAAGCATGATCTAATGGTTACAGCAGGGAGTCCAGACTGTCTCCATCACTTTTTTCTGGGGCTTGGTTCTTACACAAAGGATGCCCACTCTGTATGAAGGGGTGATTCCTTCCTCAAAGGGTGATGAAAGGATTAACATAAAGTTGCTTCTCAAGCTGTCAGAAATGGAGAAGTGCAGCCTATACACTACTGTGATAGCTAACCCCTCCCGTTCCTTCCTTTGCTGTGTGTGAATCCCCAGCCTGCTTCTGTCCCTCTGTCCACCTTCTCTGTAGCCACATCTGTTACCTCTCACTGTGAAGCTGTGGTTCTGAAAGTGAAGCTGCCAGCCTGAAAACACGGGGAGGTGGGGGGGTGGGAAAGGGGTCTTTTTTTTTCTTTTCTTCATTTTGCTTCACATGCCCCAATTTACTGAGGTCACTTTAAAGAAAAAACAAGATAATTCTCTCTGCCAGGCACCAGACAGGGTCCACTGGTGGGATGGAGCCCCTGTCTCAGTGGTGCTCTGAGCGTGGCCTCCACACATTTGGCTGCATTCCTGTTCTGGCTGCTGAGAATTTGGGCCTCGCTACCTGGAACCCAGAGGATGAGGCTAGCTTGGGGAAAGCCCCTTGGCCCACCTGGCTGAGATCTGGGAAACTTTGGTATGGCTTCGAGGACTGGCTGAAGGTGGCCTGGAAGGGTGCTGGGGTGGAGGGTGCAGAGGAAGTTGTTTCTGTCCTCCACACTGGCTCATCCAACGTGGTGGCAGACCGGGGAGCGAGCACTGTGGGAGCCAGGCTCCCTGAAGTTGGTATGGGAGCGGGTGTGGAGAACCGCCGGATCTCATAGGTTCTGCCTGTTTGCACTGGTGCCTGTTGGGCTGGGGTGAAAGACAAGCTGGGCTGCTGGGCTGGCTGGCTTGGGGTATTCTGTGTACCAGGGCTTGTGGGCTCCCCGAAACAGAACATGGCTGACTTTAACTGGTAGGGCTGGTGACGCATGAAATCAATGGCTTTGATCCCTGATTTCTGGCTGGGCACTTTTTTCACTTTGCTCTCTGCTTTGCTAGCCTGAGACTTGCTGGCTGCCAGGGGATAGAAGGGTGAATGCATTGGGTTGTAAGCTATTGGGGGTGGGGCACGGATGTTGGGTGAATACTTCCAGGATGAGGGTAGAGAAGGGGTAGGGGAGGGGGTCCGGGGCTTGGACTCTGGCTTTGCTGTCTCCACCACAAACTTGTCCATGCGACTCTGTCGCTTGGCAAAAAGCTCTGCACCCTTGCCCTTCAGCTGCAGCATATCGTGGGCCCCATTTACCAGCCTGGCACCTTGCTGGTGAGGTTTTGGAGCCACTGGAGGAGTGGTCTTAAACTTGCGCCCTGTGGGTTGCATGAAGTTGCAGGCCTCAGCGCCCAGACTGAGAAAGTCCTCCTCAGGCCCTGACTCGAAGCCAGCCCCAGGGGCATCACCTTTGGGTTTCTCATCCAGGTTCTGCACCAGAGACAGAAGCTCAGGGTTGGGCGAATTCTTCTTCTCCTCTACACTGCTGAACATGGGCTTCTTGTTGCCCCGCCGGCGAGCCTCCTGCAGGATGCCTGTGCGGGGAGCTGGTGTGGCAACCCTCTGCTCCCTGAATGTTAGGGGCTCTGAAGCAGGCCGTGGAATAGCTGGTGAGGCAGTAGGGTATGGCTGCCTTGGTAGGGAAGAGCTACTTGGCATGCTGGGCTGCAGTGCTGTAGGGCTGATATATAAGGAGGAAGAAGCTGTGTCATGTGGTTGTGGCTGGGGGGTTGTAGCTGTTGTATCCCCTGCTGGCTTGGAGGGAGTGGAGAGAAATATGGAAGCACTGGAGGTCCTGGCTGCATTTGTGGGTGGCTTAGTCTCAGGAACATTTCCTCCCGCTTGCTGTGGTCCCAGCAGCGTGGTGGGCCTGCTTGGTGCTGGAATATACAGAGATGTCAAGGAGCTCACCGGACCACTGTGGGACACTGGAGCAGCGAGGGCAGCTCCTGGTGATGCAGGTGAGAAAGGTGGAGCTGCTGATCTCTGTCCACCCAGACTGTCTCTACTTTTTCTGGGGGCAGAAGGCCTGAAGATGACAGAGGAAGTCATAGGGCACTGCCCTAAAAAGCCAGGGGTGAAGGGCCGTGCAGATCTATTGAAGATGCCTGTTGAGCTTGGAGAGGGCTGGGCACCTTCTCCTCCAACAGCAGCTGGAGGAGGAGGCTGGAACTCAGCCGGGGTAGAGAGTGGCTGCTTGCTGGGCACCTGCATTGCTTCCATGTGGATGCTCAATGGGACCTTCTCAGCCATCTGTGGTGCATCTCCATTCACTATCCTCTGCAGTGACTGGGCAGCTGGGGGGGGCTGGTGGCTCTCTGGTTTCTGGACTGGGACATGCTCTACAGTGTACTTACCAGCCTTCTGTCTCTGCTGCTCAAATAACCGGGCCCCTTTGCCTGAGGCTTCGCTCAGGCCTTTCTGTGCCTGCTCCTGTTGCTCAGACTCTGATTTGGGTTTTTCAATATCCAGATAGGTGTTGTCCCAGTCTGAGTGATTGGTTAGGCTTCGGGCATCTGAGAAGCCTTCCTCGTCAAACTCCGACTCACTGGTTGGGAAGACACCGTCCTCCTCCTCATAGCACCGGTCTTCATCCACACTCCCGAAGCTGACCAGGGTGTATTTCTTAGCCCTCTGCCTGCGCTTCTTGAACATCAACACTCCCTTGGAGTGGGGGTTGGGTGCATCCGTCAGCAGGGACGCAATGGTTCTGCATTTGGTTTTGGCTTCTTTCACGGTCTTCTCTTGCATGCTCTCATGGCGGTGGAGCTCTACAGGGGAGAAGAGTAGGCATGGTCAGAGCTCTGTAGGGTTTACAAAGGCTTGGCTGCAACTTGCCTGACAGTATGCCAGTGTCTATACCCTGAGAACCAACCCCTAACTCACCACCCCATTGCTAAGCAAGTACACACACCATGGGACAAGTTTCCCCAGGTGCTGCCAGGGACCTTCACCTTCTGAACAGCCAGCTTGTTTGTGGAGTCAGGGACAGTTCAGCTCTGTTTTTGGCTCCAATTGGGGCTCTCTCTCAGTAGAGACAGCCATGGGTGAATGCCATGCAGGTTTGTGGTACAGATACCCATTCTTGAAGAATATTTAGTTACTTGTCAATACATTTCATGCGGAGACTAGGCTCCTGTGTTTGCAATTCCTGCTAGCATAAGGCAGACTCCACAGCACACCAGTCCAGGTCTGCTGGGTGAAGCAAGAGACAGGACCCCTCTTTCTGAAGTCCTGTCCCATAGAGTATTCCTGAGAGCAAGCAGTCCCTGTGCTCCCCACAGTACATGGGATGCAGACTGCTTTTGTGAGTAGGCCCTGCATAGCTATACACAGCACTTCTTGCTCAGTCCTCTGTGTGGGGGACTTCTCCTCAGTGGGTCACACAGTATAAACCAGGGAGCCCTGTGCACTGTAGTGATGCTGTGTATGCACATTCACTGCCCAGAGCAACAGTGCAAAAGGGAGAGCCAAGAGCCCCCTAAGAACAACAGTTTGATCTCTTCTGTTGTCCCTTGCCTGTGCCCCATGCTCTGCCAGTAACAAGGGAGTTTGCATAGGAGCAGGAATCCCAGCTGCCTGCCCTTGATAACTGATTGCCTAGGCCAGAAAGAATCTTTTTACACAAGTTCTCCCATGGCCTTTGCAGTTAGAAAAGCCGACACCTGTTGGGACCTTTGCCTAGACACACAAGCTAATCATTTTCCACCCCCTCTGCCAACCTGATGACCAGCAAAGCCCACAGGACTCTATGTTCTCCACCCGGTGCAGGACAAGGAGGAGATGTACCAGGTCAAAGGTGAAACCAAGGGCAGCTGCTGGCACAGGGTCCCTGGACACTGCCAGAGACTCATCAGCTAAGTGACTCTGAAAACAACATAAATCCCACAGGAGAAAAACAACTCTGGATCTTCCCTCATTCCTTTTACTTGCTCCTGGTCCTTTCTACAGGGGGGAAAATGCCTTTTCCTTGGGGGTCTGTAACAGCACCTCAACTCATCCAGTGTGACAGACGAGACCACAAAGATACCTGCCGTAAGCTTCCACCCAGTTGTCAGGAAATTGCCTAGCACTTTTCCCTGTCCTGTAACTCCAGTGCTCCCTGGCACAGTCCTGCTCAGGCATCTCCAGCCCTAAGGAGGGGACCAGAGGGGGCAACACTCATGGCCAGTCCCCATCAGCACATGCAGGAGAGCACCTATTTGCTCAGCCCTCACAAGATCTCCCCAGGGGCCACTCTCCAGAGGTGGGCAATTATTTTGGGCGGAGGGCCGCTTACTGAGTTTTGGCAAGTCATCAAGGGCTGCATGACAGGCAGCCAGGGGCAGATAAGTATTAATTTTCTAAAATTTTTAGGAGCCCCACGGGCCAGATAGAACAGCCTGGCGGGCCACATCTGGCCCACGGCCTGCATTTTGCCCACCCCTGCTCCAGAGGGTACTGTATCAACAGAGAGCAACAGCTGTGGCAAAGTTATCCCATGGTTGGGAGGCAGCAAGGGGCAGGAGCTCACCCATCACTGAGACTGTTGTCTCGGGTTTTTTAAAAGAAGGGCTGAGTTCCCTTGGGTTGTAACCTCCCACATTGCACAGGTGACAGAGCTGTAGCATGTGTCTTTGTTCCTGGCTGCTCCAGGGCACTCCTCCCCACTCCCTCCCTGCCACAGCATTTCCTATAATCCCACTCCTGCCTGAAAACAGCCGTGGATCTGAGTGAGTAACCTGGTGGGAAGATTCAAGTAACTACAAAGAAACACCCATTGCAAGGCCTCCCCTGGAGTCCATGGGAGGGTCAGAGTCATTTCATAACATATGTTACAGCTCTGAGCTGGCTACTGGGATGGCTACGGCTAACTATTTCCACACAAAGATCCAGCAAGGGAAATGACATCTCTTCCCCTCTCAGCAAGCTAAATCCAGCCTTCTCCACCTGTATACCAATAGCTGGAGCAAAAACATGACCATGTTACTGACAAAAGAATTAAGAGTCCTCCCCCACTCCTTACAGGGTGGATCGTGGAATCAAGCAAGACTCATTGTAATGCATGTCCTTGACTCAGACTCAGGGCTACCTCCCTTTGGTTTACCCCTCAGTACACATCCGTGAGGGAGTGGGGCCAACAGAGCAACCTTCCCAATAGGAGTTTACCCCTACCAGAAGTATGGCACACAGTAGGAGAGAGCAGGGGGAGTTCCATCACATTTCAGACGCCCACTGCCCAACAGTCACTCCATTTCAGTTCCCTTGGCTCCAGCTCTACTTCTAAACCTTTGAGGGGGAAGAGCAGTGACACAGAACCTCAACCATCCCCACCAAGTCCAAGAACATAGATACTTTGGACTGGGAGCGGCTCATGGGAAGATCTCAGGCATTGAAGAGGCAGGGGTTAAAGAGCTGTACTTTCAAATCAGCTATCTAGGCAGGCCTTGGGGGCAGCAGAGCCTCATGAGAGGTTTCTGCTCCAGAGTTTGGAGCTGGCAAAAACCCAGTTTTAAAGTTAGCTAGGGTCTAGGTTGTAATGTCTCTAGTACTCTCGGTAATAATATCCAGAGCTTGCCCAGTCACGACTGTGCCCCCAGGCCACCAGTGTCTTGCATCTTTCAAATAGTTCAGCCTCCTCCAAATAGTTCAGCCTCCTCTGCATTGGCTGTAACTAGGCTCCCTGTGCTTTGAGACTCTTCTGCCTTCAGCAGCTGACTACTAAGTTCCTGGTGGCTTCCTTCCCCATCCCCCACTGCATATTCTCCAGCTCACCAAATAGGAAAGCACTTTTGCATTTTTTTAACCTTTCAAAATCTCAAATCTCACTCCCTTCCCTTGTAATTGAGCCGCTAAGTCCAACAGCAATTTGAGAAAAATGGGAGGAGGAAATGCTACTCAGGTGATTTGCTAAAGTTCAACTGGAGAGCAGAGGGAGGAAGGGAGGGAAGAAGGGAAGGAAGGAAGGAAGTCAGTACCTGCATAGGGCTGATCCAAGGTCTTGAAGGCAGTGTCCGGGCCTGGAGACCCAGGCATGTCACAAAGCCCGTTTAATGTAAAGCTCTCCATAAAGAGAGAGAGAGAGAGAGAGAGTGGGAGAGAAGCAAACAGCTCCCTCCTGGAGCAAAACCAAAACCCTAAAGCAGCCAAGCCCTTTGCTATCAGCTCCACAAGCCTTTTAAAGCCTCTCTTTTGTCTCCTAGGCATTCCTGCCAAAAGTCATGAGGTTACTCTCTCTATTTTTATCTCTCAGACTTCATCACTAGGTAGTGTGATGGACACTGTCATCTGCCACTTAACTGCTCTCCCATTTCCACCCCCTCCCTCTGTAGCCTGGATTTAAAAATAAGTGACTGATCCCTACCACCATACAGTGGTACCGGTGTTAGGGAGCAGCACAAGACTCAGACAATGAATGGTGCTCCCAGCCCCTGAATGTGCCACTTCCTTAGCCAAAGTACTGGTTGATTTCCAAACCCTTGAGGCTACCACTGCTTTTCTGTCTGGATAAATAGAGCAGGAGAAAGTACACTGGAGGGTGGGCAAGCTCTCTTTATCCCAGGCATGTTAGGGACTGCATGGTTCTCAGATCAAGACAAGGAGAAAGAGAAGTGGGGAAGAGAGACCTCTTCCTGGGTATACTGTATCACCTCTCCTAAGACATGGTCTAATATCTTAGGAGAACCAGTCCTGGATGGGGATCACTGGTGAGTGTCAGGATTGAGTTACATTGACTGTGCTGAGATTATTGAATGCTTATATTTTAATGGCTTAGTAGAGTGGGGGGCGGGGCATTAGTGGAAAAGGCAGTGGATGTTACCACCAAAATTAAGGAGCATGGGTGTGTCCATGTGAAGTACTAAGGAATGGTCCTTCACATGGACCTTTACCTATATATTTCATAGATTTCATAGACATTAGGGCTGGAAGGGACCTTGGAAGATCGTTGAGTCCAGCCCCTCACCCGAAGGGCAGGAAGTCAGCTGGGGTCATAGGATCCCAGCAAGATAAGCATCCAATTTACTCTTGAAGGTGTTCAGTGTAGGTGCTTGAACCACCTCCAATGGCAGTCTATTCCAGGCTTTGGGGGCTCAGACAGTAAAGAAATTCTTCCTTATGTCCAGCCTGAAATGGT